TGTTGTGACTCACTCTGTATAAAGGTAAATGATAAAATAATAAGAAGTAAAGAAATGTAGGAATAAATTAAAATAAATTAATTAATTGATGAGCTCATGGACTCACGTGTCTCGGTAGTCAGTAAAATTTAGTAGCGATGTTAAATATTTTTCTACGTTTTCGATTACATATTGTTATTCGAAATTTTACTTGTGGTTGTTATTGCAATATTTATAGTACATATCTTACCAAATTAAAAGCTCGTTTCGGTTTATGACAACCATATCATAAGTTGCCATGGACCAATATTGTGTCTGTGAGAACTACAATACATTGTTAGGTCAACCATAACTTGGGTAGTTGGAAGAATTATAAAAATGTGGTTGGCTCCTAAAATGACTATAAATTATAGTGAGATTGTCGTAATTGTAATTTTTCTCTCTCAGTGTATGATTTCACGTCCGGCCATTGTTTAATCGAAATGCATGACGAATGCAAATTCTTTTAGTATAAATTTCGATCTTTTCAAATTTATTTTCCATAAATTTTTCGGATATAGTAATATTTTTACAGCAATATTTGCCGAATAAATAAATCATTCTTGTAGCGATTACCTGGTTGCACATTGTTCTTTTTTTAATTAGAGCGAGTACCTTACTCGAAAAGGTATCGTGGCAATCACATCAGTTGTTATATATTCTCTCGTTGTTTCCATGCAATTAGATCCGCCACACACGTCAATTCCAGTCCGCATAAGGACCGTCTAACCACTCGTCATGTATCGGTTTCAACCAATTATTCGTGCTTGGCCACGTGCCCATTGCCACGTGTGCACTTTACTTACAAGAAATTATTCGCTCATAAAAGAAAGACAAAAATATAAGATAATAATGAATTGCACTTGAACGCCTTGCGTTTCGCCTTAGAAATTATCCGGGCCAGTTTTAATCGAAGTGCAAAATTTTCAAGCGTATCTAAATAAGAACTAACAACAAGCATGTAGAAAAAAATATTGGTCGATTTTGTAGGCATAGGTTTTAATAATAATTTATTTATCTACAAATAACTTTTTCTTTCGGAAAAATGTTTCGACAGATTATCAATGACGAATAACAACCCTGGTAACAATTTTTCTCAGAATTTTTCATGATTTTTATAATTTCTATGTAAATTTCAGAATTTTGCAGGGTTTTAGAATATTTTTCAGATGTTTTATACAAATTAATACACTTTTCAGGACTGTCAAGAAAGTTTATATCGCTTCTATAATTTTTCATATGTATAAATTCTGAAATATTCTCATTCTATATAATTTCAGACGTAATCTTATAAGATTTAAAAATTAAGATTTTTCAAAAATTATAGAATGAGAAATCTTAGAAATATAATATTTCAGAGTATTTACGTATATAAAACATTCTGAGAAAAGAAGTAGATTCTCTCAGTATTTCTGAAAGGTGTACCAATTTATATAAAAATTCCGAGAAAAATTTTCACCAGGGAATAATTAACTAAATTATTATACTAGAGACAGTACCGTTTACCTCGCATATGTGTTCGAATTGCACGTTGGATAATTAATAATATTACTTTCACCCATACATCAAGATTACACTGTTAATTGTCCCTGCCGGAAATAATTCTACAAAATTCTACAAAAAAATTAAATATAACTGCCAGAATCTACGAAATTCTACGTAAATTTTAAAAGTGTTATGAAAATCAACATGAAAATGCTAGAATTGAAACACTTTTGTTAATTTTTGTAATATTCTACAAGTAAGCAGATGTTTTAATTCTTTAAGATTTTGTTGTTTCACAAATTTTCAAAACCAGTAAAGTTTTGTACTAATTGTTACAAAATTGTACATTTTCATGAAATATTACTCGCAATAATTTCTTGATTTGAGAACATTGTAATTTGTGGTACTAATATTTTGTAGATATTTTTACAGAAAAATAAATGTTTCAACGAAGATATAAAAATTTCTATTTCAAGTCAATTTTTTGTAGTTATTTATAGAAATTTTTTCCGCTAGGGGTAAGACGCTAAAATATCTACGAATTAAATTCGTCACTAAATAATTAATTGTCAATAAAATGTGTACCTCTGGTTTTAATGCATATTATCAAGTCGCAGAGTGCATGCTCTTTCTTTCGACAAAACAGCTACCCTTTTCATTTATTATTCTAAATGCAATATTAATATCTGGTGACATATTATAACGATGTTGCAACACTATTACAGTATGGTTATGGAAATTCTGCCATTCATTGAGGGAGACGTAAACTTCCGTAAAGTATTAATGTTGAATATTTCACTGAAATGAATTCGGTATGTGAAAGATAACCTGCTACAACTACTCTGAAACTCCGTAATTACATATTTACATCCTTATTTGATCCTCATTTAACGCCTGGCATGTAAGAGGAAATGTGGAAAAATTCCGACTACAGAACTTTTCGAGCAAAGTGTCTGTAACACTCAACACGCTGAAATTTTACGGTATGATCTTTAACGTAGGATAATTATATAGTTTATACATATATATATATATTTATTTATTTGTCTCTCTCATCTCTAAACAAGAAAAACCCTCAAACCAGATCAAATTTTAAACATAACATTATAAGAAAGGTACAACGCAAGAAAGAAACGCTAATGTACAGACATCTCTCTTACCCATTGGTTACCGTATAAAGCGGTTTATTAATACAAATTTTTCCAACTAATTGGAACAACTCCGAAATAGCGAAAGATGAATCAAAAAGTTTGAAAACACTGAATTAGCTTAGCACTCACGGCACAAGTAGTCCGTTGAAATTTTTCCAAAGAGCTCCGAGCTAAATCGCTCGTCCTCATCTTCCGGAAGTGCTCCCGAGATCCTCAGGATTACGCGTGTTAGAGGGGGCAGCCGTGGACGTAGGTGACATTCCGGAAGAGCGCCGCTGCCGTGGAGAGAAACGCCGCCGTGGAAGCGGTGGATGGTGCCGGCGGTGGCGGCGGTGGTGGCGGATGGCTGGTCTGCGTTTGCGAATTGTACGGCGAACAATAAGTGTCTATGCTGCCATGATGGAGACTCACGCTGCGTACCAGAAGGTCCTTCTCGACGGTAGCTTGATGACGCAGCTGCTCCAGTCGCAGCTGATTCTGTCGCTTCCACTTTGTTCTGCAACGAAATCGTGGTGCAAAATCGTGGCTCACAATAATAAATAAGAGTACCTATATCTTCGGAAAGGTACTAAGCGCACATAACTTTTGAGCGAGAAAAATGACAGGTGAAGACTAGATCAGGGTTCGAAGCTGAAACCTTTCGCTTGTCAGGCGACTGCTCTTCTGTTAGTGAGCTCTGTCGAAGTCCAAACTCGATGTTCTTTTAGCTTGCCTGCTCCATTTATAGTAACCTTTATTAGCTGAATAAAGTAGGGATAATATGTATATGTTAGCAGCTCTAGAGCTGCTAGACTCTAGAGCGGTTCTTAATATCTCATTCGACGGTTTAATACTTCCTACCCCTTTCCCTCTTGATCTTACAATTAGTCTCTTCTACGATAAACTTTCCTATACCTTCGGTTTTGGTACCAAGTCTTCACTTGAGTCTCCGAGAGCGATAGAGCGTCTGCAACGTCGCTGCGGTCCGCTACGCTCAGATATTTTTGACAGCGGAACTTCCTCTCGAGGTAAGCCAGCTGTGCGTGAGTGAAAGCGGTTCGTCGTCTGCGTGGTTTCCTACCGGTTGGCGGTACACTGTTGGCGATCACCCCGCAAGATTTCCCAGACGTGGTTGCTGGCCCGGGCGACGGCGAGAGCGCTGGTGGAGGGCTTTCTAGACGCGTGCAAGGGCTGCTGCCAGGATCGATGGTGTCCTCTGAATCCGAATGGACCGCCGAATCATCCTCCGAGTCTTCTACAACATGTTTTGTGGGACCTAGAGATTCTCAGAAATAATACTTTTCCGATAGTTAGGTAATAATTATTAGGCATTAAGCTATCCAAAAGAATATATTCTTTGTAATAAAGTTAAGACAATATACATATAAATATACATATACATATATGTATACAGGGTGTACTAAAACCACCGGTTATCCTTTCAATCATAGATTTTTTAGAAAATTTCAAGAAGAAAATTCTAATACAAAAATGTCGAGGCTATAATAGTTTTTAAATAATAAGCCATTACATTGCACAAATGATAGGCCTGAGATTTCGCGCGCCCAGGTACGGCGACGTGACGAATGATTAAAGTGTACCCATAAATGTCGCCCTTTCTAGCATAGTAACGACCTTCATGGTAACTGATATTAATCGACCACTTTGACAGCTGCAACACTTTCAAGTTACAAAATGTTGCAAAGTTTTACTTGAATTAAATGAAAAGGGCGACATTCATAGGAATACTTTTATCACTCGTCATTTGTGAAATATAATCGCTTATTATTTAAAAACTATTATAGCTTCGACATGTTTGTTTTAGAATTTTCCTCTTGAAATTTTCCAAAGAATCTATATACAATAGGGGTTCTCATTTAAGGTTTCAAAGTTACCCCCGCCCCATCTCCAGGGGGAACAGTAGGCGGATAACTTTTTCGGGATGGAATTGCCCCCTCGAAAATATTGAGGGTTTATTTGGAACATTTTTTCGTACAATGCTTATTTTCCCAGATATTTTGCAGTCTTGAGTTAAAATGCCACCCTGTATGATATTTAAAAAATTTCTAAATTGGTATCACTAATTTTTATTTTCTTCTATTTATTTATACAGGATTATTTCCTAAGTAAAGACCGTTGCATATTACAAAAGTTTTAGTAGTCTTAAGGCTACAAGCAAATCGACCAAGTCAATCACAGTCAAACATTCTTATTATGTTATGAAAGTTCTTGATTGTGACTGGCGATTATGACTGAAACTTTTGCACGTGTAATGGCCTTAAGTACAAAAAAGAATATTCCTTAGCCATAGACATAGAAAATAATATCCATGTTCGTTGGCTTATTTTATAGAAGAAAATGTTCTATGAAAATATAACTTTAAGTACTTTGTTATTAAAATTTAAATTTGAGAAAAATTTTTGAAAAATTTAAGAAAACTCCTAGAGATATTTTATTCAAATGTGGTTAAGTTTTTTTTATTAGAACCAGTTTTTTTTCAGTACCGACGAAACATTTTTATTGTAGATCCACTAAGGACGTGTGTATGTGAGACCATGAGACAATACCATGAGACAATTTTTAATATATATATATATAAAATAAAACTTGTCTCATGGTTTTTTGATGTGATTAGTCGTTTTCGAATTAAAATAAAAAATGAAGTTATAATTACTTTTTAATTACCTGTATAAAGAAATAACATATATGTTGATATGTGTAGGTATCACTGTCTAATATAATAATTACGTTTACTGTATACCTACACAGAGAGGAATTTATCAGAGCCAACGCGTTCCTTCACTGGGTATTAATAACTATTTTCTGGCTGATCCAATCAATGGATTCAGCCGGTCGAACAAAGTCTATTACCGAAACAATAATCCAGCAAACCTCAATGGATCGTGATCGATCTCGGTTAGAGCAAACCATCTCAATTACCGAAACCTGCTACACCCTCTCAGGATTAGCCAATAGATTCGCAACGGCGCACTAGGGGGTAATAACCTTCGATAGAAACCTCGAGACTAACGAGTCCTAACGAATCTTTCGGCATCTCGAGCCATCTGTAGAATTGTTCTTAATGGGGTACCACCTCCGAGGGCGTTAGTCACCCCCAGTGGTTCTGCATTTAAAGAATAGAAACGCACCACAGGATCCACTTTCTAACGAGAATTCTGACGATCCGTCACGTGTTTGGAAATGTTGGCGTGGAACAAAACTTTCGTAATTACTCGCACAAAATTAAGGGAGTAGATCATTGTAGAAGGTAAAAAATCCATCTTTCTTAATTTTAATATGTATATTATATAATATGTACAAATAATCAATGAGTATAAACGACCTAGGCTGGCAAATCTCTTTATTTAATAGATTACGACGTTTCGGCCAGTAATACTAGCCCTCTTCAAGTAAGACTTATGCTGACCTTATCAATTGTTGCAGCAAAACATCTACAAACGTATACATAATAGTGGTTATTAACAATAAATTGAAGATTAGAAAAGAAAAGAGTTAAAATTGATTAACTTACAGGAGACAAGTCGTAGTACATATAAATTGAATATATAAAACCATCAGAATAATAAAAATCATTACAACACTCTGTGCACCGACACATAAATGTCTAGTCCAGATATAAAGTCACAGGGAAACTGCCGAGATTGTCGAGTGGGAACGGTAGTTGCGGTCAACGTATCGTCAAAACATAAAATCCGGACGAGAAAGACACAAACATAAATAAATAAATAAATTAGATACGAATAATTCTATCGTAGATAGAGTTAAGATTGTCCATGTCTTGTTGGAGGTTGATCGTGTTATTGCATTTTTTCATGAAAAACATCTCGGCAATCTCTCTCTTCCTATAATGCGACTCTTTGTGTAAGATAGTAGGGTTCGACCAATCAAAATCATGATCGAAACAGGTTCGGTGTTTGCTCACAACGGAATGATTTTATAATTTTAAGAAAGTTTGGGTACACATAATTATATGTATATGAAAAAGTTATTCCCAGATGTGTCAAAATAATTTACAATTTTATGTATTTTCTGTTTAGTCAAAGCCATGTTCCGTTTTAAACTTTATTTAAAAGATCGAGTAGGAAAGATGTATTACTTATACACAGGAGCATGTTTGAATTATTAATATTTTGGTCATTTTCAACCGATTGCATTTAACTTATTAGACGACAATGTTTAAGTATAATCGTGCTTATTTCCGAGTTTCTTTTTCGAGGGGCGATAAGAAATATGATATTCTTATAAATATATTAAACATTTAAAAACAGACACAATATAACCCTATGCGTTTGAAATCAATAATTATTTTGTTAATCACGGTAATTTTCGCGATTCGTACGGAAGAGCTCGATCACTTCTTGCAATTAAAAATAAATCACCGTATTCCGACAATACCGCGTTAGAATAATATCATCGATCTAGCATCTCGCGTTGATTACACAGCCCCACAAAAAAAATGTGTGTATTCAAGAAAATAGCTCAAGAAGCAGTTTGTCGGGGAACTTTAATGCATCTTTTGAGTTTAGGAAGGATTTGAGACCTGACGGTGCAACTCTGACCTTGAATTCGTATTCAGCGGATCAAAATACTAAAAAAAAACATATTCATATTACTTGAGTTCCGCAGACCGAGGGGTGGGTACGTCTACCAAAAATGCCAGTTTCGTGAAATTATGAGTTTTTTTTTAGATTAGGGACGATATATCTAGCAATTGTTCAATTCTGACCTCGGATTCAGATTCAGATTCAGCGGGTCCCAATATATAAGAATACACTTCCCAGTGAGAAATGATTCGTCGATCGATGTCGATTCGACGAATCATTTCTCACTGGGTTGTCTGGTCTTAGGCCCAGACAACTTCTTTTTGTGTTATTTATCATGATTTCTGCTTACTGCTCTGTACGTTTTGAGTGGTAACGATACCTTGAACTCGGTCGACCAATACATCTCCAAGAAGATCTCTGATCAGGAAAGACTTGTGCTCCTGCATCATCGCCGTCAGCGAAGCGACGCACACGTGACGTCCACGACCGTCGATTGTCAATCGAAATTGTACTCTCCTCAGAATCGAAGCAACAATAATACGAAACGACGACAGCTCAGCACGGATCTCGTGAACGCACTCGCGCCTTCGCAGGGAAATTCGCGACTCTCATGCTATCGTATGGACGCTCGACGTCGTTCTGCATCGCCGACGGCCACCGCGGCTGACCGGAAACCTGGTCCCTAAACCCCGACACCATCGTCACCCTTATTGCCGCCGTCGACTATCGCGGGGGTGGAGACACGCGTACTGGAGGATCTGCAAGTCGAAAGGGGGTGATACGCGCTCGCGTACCCTCCTCTCGCCGACCCCCCTCGAATTAATCCGCCTGTTTATTTTGAACGGGCTGCCTAATGCCCGCGCGATTTCGCAGCCATTTTGGGGGTGGAAGCGCCATGCTCACTCCACCACGGGACCGGCACGCTTTACCCGATTGGTTCGCGGAGACTAGGACACGGGGGTGAGAAAACGAGGCTCCGGCGTCGCTATTGGTCGGGGAATTCCACAGTCAGTCCTTCTCACCCTCGCGATCCGGTAACTCGGTGCATGCTTCGATTTAAGTGGACGCGGGTGAAGGTGCAAGGGGCGGTGGAAACTGAAGACTGAGATGGAAGGCTGGGGAGGAACGCGGGAGAAGAGACGGCAGCAGATGCAGATGGAGAGAGGAAGTCATTCGCGAGCGATTACTGCGAAACGGGAGGAACAAATTGAATGTGAAACTTTTCCGCGAGTCGTACGATATACAGTTGGTTTCTATGATTTCAGAGCTTGAAAGGCGGATGCTTGCCGAGTTTCCGCTGTGTTGTCGGCCTCGGTCGTCTCGTTGCTCGCGCTTGTTGGCTTCATTACGAGAAGCTCCAAGAGAAACGCGGCTCCGAGCGAGGCACAATAAATTCTAAAATCGTTCAATCGAAAGAAACCAGCTCATTCAATATTAGTATAAGCTATAAAAAAAACCAAGACGTACACACCGCGCACGAGACTTGTAATCTTTTACCGTATTCTTCGCGGAATACGATGCACAAGGAATACGAAGGAATACTTACGTGTGAGATGTTTTATTAGTGATATAACAACGTAATTCAAAAGAATACACGAAGAGAAAAATATTATCTTACGGTAATGACCGAGCTGGATTAATTTTATTTTTGAAAACCGTATAGAAATAAAATATCTTCGTACAAGCAGGTGGAAATAAGCTTTATACAGTCGGGCTAGGTCTTTGTGCCTAACAATATTATTGCATGAAATTTATATACATTTTTCAGCTCAGCAAACTACCATCGATCTAAAAACGCGCTCCCATTATGCAATTATTTCTTATCTTCTATTTCCGAAGAATATCTTGTCGACAGTCTCGTGGAAAGTATACGCGAAAACAAAATGACTCTCATTAAACTGTAGATTATAAGTGTGGGCTGTGCGCTTCCTATCTCAATCAAAGAAATTGTCGAGTACAGATACATATTAGATATTGTAAAAAGAAAACGCAGAATTTTTTTAATCTCTTTATCTTATTAATTTATTTTGGTCCCATGCCGGAAATAATTCTACAAAATTCTACAAAAAAATATAATATTGTAGAATCTAAGAAATTCTACGTAAATGTAAAAAGTGTTAGAAAAATCAACACGAAAATGCTAAAATTGGAACACTTTTGTTAAATTTTGTAATATTCTACAAGTAAGGAGATGTTTTAATCCTTTAAGAGTGTGTTGTTTCTCAAATTTTGAAAACTACTACAGTTTTGTACTAATTTTTACAAAGTTGTACATTTTCATGAAATACCATTGTACTTGCAATGATTTCTTGATTTGAAAACATTGTAATTTCTAGTACTATTTCGTAGATATTTTTACAAAAAAATTAATGTTTCAACGAAGATATGAAAATTTCTACAAATTTCAATTTCAAGTCAATTTTTTTCTAGTTATTTATAGAAATTTTTTCCGCTCGGGTCGTCAAATCAGAATCAATCTTTACAGAATTAATCAGTCACCAATCAATTTAATTTACTTACCACCATGCTCCGCGAGAGAAACTCGAAGAAACAATTTATTAGCATTTTTGCGATAAATACTTGATAATAAACAAGATGGATATACAAGTTCCTTCGGCGAGCGTTATTCGAATTTCGTACGAGACAAATAAAATAAGTAGAGATAAAGCAGAAAATAATTTGACTCTCGATTATTTGTTTAATCAATTAAAAGCCTGCTTCACAATTCAACGGAAACTTTTTCGAAACTAATATAGTCATGAAAGCATTGCCGACAAAACACTGAAAAAAGTGGGAGAATGACAGAAAAAAGTAGATATAAAGAACAGTATTAAATATGACTATTTTGACTATTTATTTTGCTTTTTTCCAAGTCTTTAATTTAACTCCTTCTTTGTTATTTTCTTTTTCTTTCAATATGTGCAACTACGTGCAATTCTTTGTATATAAACTTCCCGATGTTTCTAATGTCAATTTTGACCATTGTTCATCAGTCGGTCATTCTGAATTTGCATTACACTCTCATGACATATTTATAACTTTTTTTGGTCTCAATACTTTTCCCCTTTTTCCTTATATTTTATTATTTTAATTGTTTTTCTTTAAGGAACGGAAACGCTTTTCAATTTTTCTCCAATAGAAAAATATGCACGATCAAGTACCTTCGTATCTTAAGGGCAAAATTTAGTTCCTCTTTTTGTAGTCTTATGTTGAACATAACAGATGTTTCCGATATGACGGTTTCCAATTTTATTCAAAGTATATCTACACTTTTTTTGCGCCAAACTTATAATCTATAATAAATAAGTAAATCAACTTTATTCATTTTATTCTGCTTCACTTCAAGTTTATTTAACTTTTAGTAATTCCAATGATTCCATCTACGATCATTACTAGCGAAAGAAGAGATATTGTACGTATAATACCCTGCAGAGATACGTATATGGATAAAAATACACGAGTCTCGCAGATTTCACCATATTTGGCAAATTCTATATTAATATATAAACAGACAACTATCAAAGCTATCAGAGCTATCAAAAGATATCATTAGGTCCTTAAAATTTCAAGTTCAGTTATTAATTCATACAAAAATATTTATACGTTTTAACCTAACTTGGTCATCCTCAGCAATATACAGGGTGATTCAGGAGGAATGTCAATATTTTGGGAGGTGATAGTATCGGTCATTTTGAGCAAAAATGTTCATATGAATATATGTCCTATTCCCCACTGTTTCCGAGATAGAGCTACTTGAATGTACAATTACAAAATTACTGACAATAAAGAAATACTACGTACTATTTCTAATATTTATTGTTCAAGTGATTTTTTACAAATTATAATAAATTTTCAAAAATTCCACCGTTAACATTAATGCATTTTTCAACTCTTGTGTCAACTTGGCGTGTTGCTCGTCTAAGTACATCGTGACGACCTCGGATTCAGATTCAGCGGGTCAAAATACATAAGAATGCACTTGTCTGGTCTTAGGTCGGGACAACTTTTTTTGTGGGACTATGTATTTAGACATTTTCGGCTGACAGACAAGGCTGTAACAATCAAAAAATAAAAACCTAATAAGTTAGTGCCAAAAGAAAGAAGAGAGGAAAAGGTATATACTCACATAGAGCCGTGTGGAACAATGTGGATGACGTTACAATAGTGACGGGTAAAGAACAAATGCCAAGGATAAAAATAAGTTGATAGAGGAATAGTAATTAAAAAGCAATGACAAATGGTCGAACAACAGTCAGCGTAATATTAAATTACAAGTTAAAAATCTATATATCTTTGTGTGTTGCTGAAGATGCCTAAATTAGGTCGAAACATATAATTTTGTTGTCGATTGAAATTTTTTGGACCTAGTAAGATCTTGGATAGCTCGTGAGTTTATTTACTCAAATGGCCGTTTATTTATTCATATAGCTTTTGCTTATAACAAACGCTTTCCTTCTTATAATAAGCTACTTCTGTAGCGACGCCAGTATGTGGGCATTAATTAAGTACCAATTAATTCTGATCGCTCACGCGAGCTCACCTTGACGCAAGTGGTGAAGCTAGTGATGCCGGAGTAGATTCCTCATTCTATCTTGGAATTTTTTGGCAAGTGTAATGCCGCGTGGCGTTGCATAAAGTATCATGTTAACGTAACATTCCGTCGCCAATGCAAAAACTGGCGCCAGGCAACATCGACAATAACGGCGTCGCGCTCCCAGGAACGAGAGACCCTTCGGCTTCGGAGGAGCGAAACGAGGTTGGCGCGCACGTTTCCGAATTCATTAGGCTTAATGTATGCGGGAGATTAATTCAAGGGGTAACAAAGCGGCCAGATGCTTTCTTCATGAGTGCGAAAAAAAGAGCGCCAGGGAAGAATGCTGGAATAAATACATGCCAGAAGGATCGTCGAGGCTGTGAGAAACAAAGGGTCTATCGAAGTTGGCGTCTCGACGCGAGTATAACAGTGTCGATCGCTGCTACTACCGTCGTAACAGTCAAATCGAGGACTTGGAAGCCAGTAATTGTCAAAACTTAATATTCCAGGCTACACTGACAGAAAGAAATCGTATTTATATTGGAAGTAATGTTCCCTGCTTTTTATTATACATATACGAGTATACATTGCGTTCACTATAATATGTTGATTGGTTACATCACTTTGCACTCATAAAGAACCCAAGGAGAACAGAAAAGTCAAAATAATGTCAATTTGACATCAAATTGACCAAATTTACGTCATTTTTTGGTCATGATTAAAAATCTTAATTTCAGATTACTTAAAAATGGCTTTATATTGACTTCTTAAAAAAATTTTTTTTCTTAATATTTAGAAAATGTAATACGTTTCTTGACTGTATAAATGCTTATTATCATAAAAATGTATAATATAAAAAAGTATGACGTAAATTTGATCAATTTGATGTCAAATTGACATTATTTTGACTTTTCTGTTCTCCTTGGGAATAGTACAAGAATTCTTTTTTCAAAGAAAAGATAAGTAATCTTATACAAATGTATAAATTTACCCATATTCATGACATCTTATACGGTTTTCTTCTTACGAGAAAGTCTTATACCGCGCGTTTCTCTAGTGAAGACATTCGAAACCACTTCACTTTTGTTTACCATGTGATTAGTAAGGTGGGTGATAGAAATGTAGTTAAAACTATTATTGTGATTGTATTTACTGTATAAAAATAATTTACTAATTTACTATTCATTGCCTGGATATTTTAACAGAATAATAGTTAAAAGCTTATATTTTATAGTAAATTTTTTAAATAGTTGCCATCACTGTGTCTATATGGTTGCTACTACTAATATTATAGTAATAATTACTATAAAAATGATATTTCTGACTATACATATATACATATATATGTATGTTACTGTGCAATTATAGTTTCAAATACTATATATTTTTCTGTCAGTGTACATTACACAGTTTTTAAATAAAAACAGAAAGGTACGCCATATCTACTTTGTTTATCATAAATAATTCCAACTTATGTATAAGTTTGTAGAAAATTGCGCAACTCGGAGCAAAGAAATTCACTTGATCGCGATTTTAAGATAATGAGATATAATGTTTCTTCTGCTTTCTCTATTAAATTTCCCGCATACACTATCTCGATATGCTCGGTTTAGATTTTTTAGGACATTGTCTCATTCTTCGTATTTCGGAATCATGACTTTTTCGGACACTGTCTCATTTCTAAAATTTCAGAATTGACTTTTTTAAGGAACAATATACCAACAATATACGGAGAGAATTTTCTCTTAAAATTGATCCTGAGAATTATCGCGGGACAACATGGCTTTTTGTAAAACTTTATGAGAGTTTTTCGAAAGTTTACCATACATTTTACTAATAAAATGTATAATTACTAGTGAAATGTATGGTAAAGTTTCAAAAAATTCTCGTAAAATTATTTGAAACGTCGTGTTGTTCCACGATTATATAATTTTCAGGATAAACGTTAAGGGAACATTATCTCCGTGTGTTTTTCAAATTTTGGCATATATTTTTCGGGACTTTACATGTCCATCGAGTTATTTATATCGCACATCGTACATGTATGTGTATTTTTGTCGAATCCTCTTCAATAAATTAAGTTAAGTCGAGGATAAAATAGCCCTCGAAACCATTTCTAAACAATCGCGTGATTTACAAACGTCATAATTATGGTGATTTAAGGCGCTTCTTTATGAACAGATTTCGTGCGACCACACGCGTGACAGGAGTACTGTACAAACAGTTTATCGCATTTATTCCATTCTCGATGAAGGCAAATTAATGATAATAAGAGCGCGGGACAGTCCGTATGGAATTAGCTACGAATCATCTCTCCCGCTGACTGATCGTTATCGGCAATTTGCGACGTTTGCTCCCCCGTGGGATTCGAGATCTCGGGGGGGGGGGGGGGAATGTTTCTCTCCCTCCATCCCATTTCGTTTCTCCGCGCATTTGTGTTGCACAAATGGGATTTCGTCGGCAAGAAATTACTTCTGCGATCGCGCGAGGGTCGACCAGATAAGCAGATTAGAAGCCAATAAATTTTAACGTGTTACATTGGCAAGTAAGCCTACCCAAGTGATACATTTCGAATTTTTTCAAACTTGGCGTAAACGTAGACTATGAAAAATGTTTCACCCATGCCCTTGCATATCTTTTCTGTCCAAGAGTGGGTGCACGAGAACAGTTACCGTTTCTTAAATTCAAAAAGTTAAAAAAAACAAGAGTTTTTTTTAGATCGCTGATTATGAACATAAAGTAACAATATAATATACGCCTAAATTAGAGAAACTATCTGGTTAAAAAATTTTGTTGCAGATTTTTTAGATACGTGAAATGAATGTCGTGAATATGACGCTCGATCGACCGAAGGCTTAAACAATGTCTGGCGTACTCAAAATAATAACGGCACGGTCTCGTATCATTCTGATGACTAGTTAAATACAGATAAAGGACCGCGAGGAGAATCATGCCGGAGCGATTTAGAACAGAAGCGGTAACGGGGGGTGGCGGCCACGGAGTCGCAATGTGGAGGATCTCGAAATCGTTAACAATCGCGGCAGGCGCGAGCGAGATCCATTGATGTGCGATCGCGCGTGTGAATATAACTGCCAAGGTGAAGTTTCCGTATGAAACGGCATCGTCCGGCCTGTTCCGCTTTCATGGAAAAACACAAAGCCCTCGGGTTTTAAGTGAAAATATTGTTTTTTAAACACCGCTAAGGGAGTGATGGAAAATGTGATTTGCGCTCTCTCTTCAATTCGCATCGATCGGGATTCAGGAGAACATTTATGCAAAATTAATAAAAGTGTAAAATATGATCTTTTCCTATTTCATTGTTTATACTTGTTCAGCTAAAGCTGAAATCAAATAATATATTAATAAAAATGATAAAGTCACGATGCAAAGTGACTAAACGTTCGCAAATAATAGCGCATTATCCTTTTCAGAGCACCATCTTGTTGCAAATACCCTTTGATCTGCATTAAAACTCGACGTTACTTTGTATACAAATTTAAGTATCAATTCTTTAAACATCGCGGGGAGAGTAATTAAAAGCCACTTCGCATCGATAGGGATTCGTAAGTTAATTAGAAACGAATGCACTTGTACGGAGCATGACTTTTCCTATTCCGTTGCTAACTCATTAAATTAAATCTGAAATCACATAATATATCAATAAAAATGATAATGTCGTGATGTCAAGTGATTAAATATTCGCAAATAACGGTGCGTTATCTTAGAACGTATTGTCTTCTCGCAAGTATCGTTTGATATGTGCCGCGACTCGACGTTATTTTGTATACGGACTATTTTTTTTTTAAGAGGGAAGGAGACACTCTCCAAGAATGATGGTTATGGGAAAAGGAGTGCTTGAACACGGACGATGGTCAGGCCCCTGCGGTTCCAATTACGATTGAAAGGCGCTCCTGTTTGTTCGCCTCCTACAACTGCGGACTCTTCAGTGCCTCATAGAACCGTACTCTAGCCCCATGGCCACTTTTGAGTTCGGCGAGCACGTTTCCATAGTGAATACGCGATTTTCGCGATCGCAACGGCAACTTCCTCCGAGAGGTGGATTTCTATTCTGCTATTTGGATACAATTAACGCGCGATTCTCGCATGCTGCGCACCGAGATTACACAAATTTCACATCTCGCAGAACCTTTCAAGGCTATCGAATGTTTGTTATTAATCCCAATTGTAATTTCTTTTTTTTGTGGATTCTTGAAAGTATACGCCGGATGAAATGAGAAACGCATGACTTTTGGATCGTCAGATTCAGTGTTCGCCTCTCCATAATTCATTTTCTCGATATCGCGAAACGGGATGACGCTGAGCACACCAGTTACTCGACGTTCTTGCTTTTGCGCAAAGTGCCGAGTAATCAAAGGAACGATTGTCGACACAAAGGTGCTTGATTGGCTCGTTTATGTTACGGTAATGCCCAGGCTACCGGATGACATGGAATCCCGTGAAGAAACCTAAGTGTCTCGCTCTTCTCTAGCGAGCTCTCACGAGATCACGTAAAACGTAGTTATCGGCAGCATTAAGCGCCTTGATTTATTAGGTTTTATTTCAGACAGTTATAAAATTGCAGATATTGATTAAAATGAAAAATACCCTGTAAATAAAAAAATGTGTATAATTTACTGAAAGAATGGTATTGTGCTTTTAAGTTCAACAACATTTTGAAATCCTGAACTAAAATTCAACCAAAACTGCCTCTTATGTTCTTTTGGTGCAATAAGTCGTTTTTAAATTTAAAAAACGTAATATAATTATTCACATGCGCACGCTCGATTGATAAGAAAATGTGTCTATACACGTCAAATTTGAATAAAATATCTTTAATTGTAGGTGATTTTTCAAAATTAATATTTTTTTTTCTCAAATTTAACACCCTGTGTTTTAAAACCAACAACGCATTTTAGGACATACATTTGCGGGACATTTTGTTGATAAAATAAGCGAAGAAATATTTCCTTATATTTTCGGTACTTGGAAATTACTTTGTATAATATAAGCAAAATAGACTTTAAAATATAATCTGAGAAATATTTCTCTTCAAAGATGACATATCGCTTTGATTATATAATTATTTTATCAAACAATATACTACCATATAATGTAAACGTGGACAGTATCGATATTGCTGATTCTCGCGATAAGCTGTACGATGTTTAATTGCAGGAATGTCTGGGAAATGCTTTTATCACGATTCCAGATTTGTCTGTTATCGAAAAGATAACGATCGACATCGTGGATTAAGACTAACGCTATCAGCGAGAGATCTCGCGGTTGAAAGCCCGGGGCAGTGGCGCGCGACGAGAACGCGGTAACGGTGGTGTATCAGTGCACCCAAGTTGGAAGGGTGGCTTGTTTACTAGCGACAGTTGATTTGACAAAGCCACGGGTCCATTTATACGAGCGAATATTACAGGGGCGCAGTCGAGGGGCGGCTTGTTATCCGCTCATTGAAGTTAACCACGAGGCTAAGTGCGCGAGAAGGGTAGGGACGACGGTAGCGACGGAGGCAGCGAGGACCGGAGGGATCGGTGGGAGATTCGCCACGAGGATGAGTAAAAGAACATGGTAGAGAGAAGAGAGAACGGAGGGGGGAAAGAGAGGGAGGGGGAGGGAGAGGGAGGGAGGGAGGGAGAGAGAGAGAGAGTTTGTGTGAAAGCCTGCGAGCCAATAAGAGGCCGGATCGTCCCCGCCGAGTAACCACCCGGGCTTTCCGCCGGTTTATTCGACCGAGATTGAAAAGTTAGCGCCGGCTGGCTCGCGGTATCCGTGAATCGCCACCCTCGTAACCCCTGTTGATTCTCCCAGTTAAAATACGTATCTATGAAAAATGGCAGAGTTTGCATAAAATAATAAATGTCTGGAAGCAGCAGAGAAATCATTCGTCGGTTATCCTATCAATTTTTAATATTATCGTAAATCGTAGTCTAACATCATATAGAGATGAATCTGTTAAATCTTATACGAGGCCCCTACGATAACCATAACAAAAGTTCTGCATAAGTTTTACGTAACAAAAGATAAGCGAAATTATTTATTACTTGAGTACTTATTTGTCACTATAAAGGCAAAGGCTCTTCACTTGTTGTACCCCTAAACACAATTAATGACTTGAAAAATTTCATTAGAATCCGAATAATGAGATTTTAAATAGAAAAGTGCCTCCTATATGTATAATAGGGGCCTCCTAGAACTTAATTGATTAATACAAGGAGTCTCATTTTTACTAAGTACAATTTCAATAACGGATTCTGCAATATTATCTTAATAAAGATTATCACTTTTCGTGTAATTTCGTAATTTCCAACGAATTATACATATATCTTTGCCTACTTTATTTAGCGGGATAGAAATCGTAACTAAAAACTCGCGGGAGAGCCAGGTCGAAGCGCATATAACGTCTCTGAAAATGTTTACTTCTGCATAACGCTGTGGTGCCTGCACTCGGTGATTCTCTGACACGTGGATAATTAATGCAGGGCCGGTGTGAATATCCTCGAGATCGGATGTTAAAGTGTACCGCAAGACAGAATGAATATGAAAGGAATTTAACGTTTGATATAGAATCGCGCGATCAAATCACGTGCAACGAAAAATTTAAACAAGTCGCAAATATAAAACAATCATCCGTTTTACCTAAAAAAAAACATTACGTTTAGAAACGAATTCGTTTATCTGGTAATTATAAAGTAAGAAAAATGTGCATGATTTTTTATGCGTCTTATAAGTGTACGTGCGTATGTCGACGATGTGAAAAAAGCTTTGGAAAAATCTGCCAGTAACGAAAAATGAAGTAAGAGGGAGATGATTCTTCTGAATAGGTCGGTAAAGATGGAAGAGGGTAACGGAGGGTGACGCCGCGTCCCCGAGAAGGGAACAAAGTTTCTGAGTAACCGACGCGAAAATACGGGTAATAACTACTTTCTCATGTTATAATTACGGAATAATTAATTGAAATGTTTTGCTGTACGCAAGGGTACTTAAGTAAAATGAAATGCGGGCGAGACGAAGGTGAAGACTGCTGCTTTTTCTCCCGACGAGGAGAGATCTCGGTGAGATTTCTTTTGTTTTATGCTCTACGTTATTCTACGCGCGTGAGAGAAATTAGGTAGGAAATCTCTTCGTAAAAAAACTCCTGGTTAATTAATTTACAAGAGTGTTTAATTGGTCCGCCGCGATGGTTCTCTGGCGAAAAATTTGTTAAATTAATTCCCTAAAATATGATGGTAGAAATAGGGAAACGCGCGTTAATGGTGATAGAAATAAAGCATCGGGAATAAAGTATATTAACAGATTTCATGCCCGGTTAATTTCTTAAATCGAAAATAAAAAGGAAACAGAAGAAAAGAGCGTAATTAAACTGCGCCCCATTTCGGAAACATTCAGTATATTTGTTGCAGAGATAAATGTATATCTTATATTATAATAGAAACGATATTAAGAGTAGACGTAAAGTTTGATTGTCTCGACATTATCGCGCTACTGAGGATAGCTCAAAACAGAGCCGAAACGTACGTTATTTTTATTTAATATAATTATATATAATATTTTTAATTAATATAACTGCATTTCAACTTTCAAAGCTTCCACTTTGTTTTATTTATTGATTTTAATATCGAGATTCTTTACTTATTTACTCATTTATCAAAACTTTTTGAATATTTATGACATTTTGTAATACAAATGAAAACCAAAACAGAGAGAGAGAGGGTAGGCCTCTCATAAGAGTTATTTGAAGGTCACATGAAGGTCACGTTTAATTTGTTAAATGGAACACCCTCTATATTTTTGGATATTCTTGTAGCTTACCTTGAGAGCTTTCCAAAACGCTGTAATAAAATGTTTTTTCGTTAAGTACTTTTTGAGTTACAAAGCTTGAAAGTAACAGTACCGCCGGCATTAGTATTACCCAAGATATACCACGTGGAGGTTGCGCGGTCGGATTGCGCGGATCGGAACTGCACCCACAACAGCCGACATTATTCTGTGCATAAAACTATTAAGGAAAGATAATAAAAAAATGAATATTTTATGAGATATTTTATAATTTATGTCAAAATATTGGAATTTAATTACAGTGTTTTGGAAAGCTCTTGAGGTAAGCTACAAGAATATGCAAAAATATATAGGGTGTTCCATTTAAAAAATTAAACGTGACTTTCATGTGACCTTCAAATAACTCTTCAAGGTCAAACGAATGGTACCCTATTATTAAATGTCCCCTTGAAACCATACAACTTTTGTCTGAAACATTTTTGTCTTAAACTTATGGATTTTGAGAGATTTCAGTGCGTAGATTAAAATGGCCTACCCTGTATGTACGTTAATATATTCTGCATTTTCCAGCTCTGGCATTTCCTGTTAGCCGTGCGTCGCTTTCATCCACCAGCTGTCTCAATATCTTGAAAAACTCCTTTGGACACTTGGTTATTTGTTACCGCGACATCACATCCGCATGCAGTATCAACGGAACAATGGCAAGCCGCAGAATCCTAGAAGAAATTGGATCACGCGATGGGCAAAGCGAGGACGTGCCTTTGTTAGCGTTCACTTGTTCTCCCTTTGTTCCAGACATTGTTTCTGATAACTCTTCCCCCGTAACAAGGGAGAAGCTCAATTAGAACGGTTTGAGGACTTAAACGCCCAGAGGCTGTTACGGTTTAAGAGATAAGAACCGCAATACCGACACCGATCGGAGAACATTGTAATCGTAAGGAGCAAGACAATCATTTATACACGCATGGACAATTTATAACGATTTATTTGTGTGAGCAAAATTTTTCAAAATACTCCCATCTCATAACCTGTAGAGGGTCGGCATTTTTCCATTGAAATTCGTAATTTTTTTAACAGAAAATTTATGCATATATGTAATCTACATGTTCCGCCAAGTTTTTAAGTTTGCTCCTGGCCACTATAATGGCTAGTCCGGCCCCGAACGGTATGGAAAATACAAAAAAAATTTTTTAATTTGCACTTTAGTGTTTCTAAAGGTTTTTGATATCGCCAATCACGATTCTGAAGTTAGATTATCGAAATTTTACGCAGGAACAGTGTTACCAGCTTAAATAAATAACGTCATGTATAAAACTTGACTCTGGTGTTACCCAGAGCTAACGACGTGGACGTAGAAAGATTTGTAGCTCCATTATTGCTTTTTGTTTTATAATCTTTATTTTTGTGCTTTTTATTATTCATTTGATTGACAAACCAAGATCTGTGCAGACTGAATAAC